CCCCCAACTTCAGTGGATAAAAACAACCCCCACTTTAGAGTGCATGATTGTGCAGTTGGTGGGCTCCTCTGAGCCATTCTCTCCCGTGGCACTGGGTGGGCTGCCCCACGGGGCTGCAGACAGCTGGGGGTCCGTGGCAGCTGAAGGTCCAGCCTGACTGCACTCGTGTCGGGCGTTTGGTGCTGGCAATTGGGGCGCCTTGGTTCTCCTCCACGGCCGCTCGTTCTCCGGGACTGCTCTCATCCTGTGGCCTCTCAGACGACCAGAACTGCCTGCTGTCGTCTTCCAAGAGGGTGAGCCAGAAGCTGCAGGATCTCTGTGAAGTCAAACGTGGAGCAGCGTGTTGCTTCCACATTTTATTGGTCAAAGCAAGTCCCAGGCTAGTTCAGGGGTGGAAAGCAATGACGGTGCCTCCCCATGGGCAGAGGAACAAGGCCATATTGCGAAAAGACATGGAGAGAGTTGGAAGGCTGTCTTAGGAAACACAAGTACCTACTATGTGCCAGGCATTATTTTAGGCCCTAGGGGCACAAAGGTAAGTGAAACGAAAACCCCTGTTCACCAGAAGCTTTCATTCTGTTGAGGGAAGATGACAACAAATAAGTAAAATATGTAGTAAGTTAAATGGTGATGCAGGTTAAAGAGAGAAATAAATTGGTGCAGGATGGGGCATGGCAGGAAAGCTACAAGACCAGGGAAGGCCTCACGAAGGAGAATCATATGGGCAAAGGCTGGAAGGGAGTGTGATATAAGCTTTACCAGTGATGGGAACAGCAAGTGCAAAGGCCCTGGGGTGAAGACATGGTTGGTTTAGTTGGTGGGGAGTGAGCAGTCAGTATTGAGGTCAGAGAAAGGTGGAGGGCTGGGATGGTGTGGGGCTGGGGAGGCCCCCAGTAGGTGTTTGCTGACTGAGGCGGAAGATACATTAAAAGTTAAGATATAATCCATGCAATATAAAATTTACCATTTTAGAGTATACAATTCAGTGGTTTTTAGTATATTCCCTATGTTGTGCAGATATTACCACAACCTAATTCCAGAACATTTCCATCACTCAAAAAAGAAGTCTCATAACCATTAGCAATTATTCCCTGCTCCCCCCGACCCCGCACCAATTCCATGGGGGAGACAACCACTAACACACTTTCTGTCTCTGTGGATTTGCCTCCTCTGGACATTTCAAATAAAAGGAATCATGTAAGGATTATTTTCAAGGATTATCAACATTGTAGCATGTATTAGAGCTTCATTCTTTTTATGGCTGAATAGTATTCCATCCTGTGCACATGTCACTTTTTGTTTGTCCATCCATCAGTTTATGAACATCAAGTTATTTCTACTTGTGGGCTATTAGGAATAATGTAAAAGCTTTTCTGTAAGAACCTCTGTTTTCAGTTCTTTTGGGTACATTGCTGAGTCATAGGGTAACTGTTTAACCTTTAGAGGTTGGTCTCCAAACCAGGCTTGTTTCCAAAACAGCTGCACAATTTCACAGTCCCACCAGCAGTGGATGAGGGTTGCTTCATATCCTCACCAACATTTGTCACTTGCGATTTTTGTGATCGTGGCCATCCTAGTGGCTGAGAATGGTAGAGTGGAAGATTGTGAGCTGAAGAGGGCTTTGGTTTTCACAGAATCTCTGAGGACCAGATTGAAGGGGAGCAAAAGAGGAAGGAGGGGACTAGTAGCAGCCTACTGCAACGGTCCCGTCAAGGGAGAGCGGTGCCTTGCACCAGAGTGGTGGTGAGGAGTGGCTGGATGTAGGATGTATTGTGAAGGCAGAACTGAGAGGATTTGCATAGAGGATGGATGGGGTGAGGGGTGGGAAAGAATGATGAGCCAAGGATCCTCCCAGCTGTTTGGCCTGAGCACCTGGATGATGGGGTTTCCATTTGTTGAGCTGGAGAAGACCACGGATGGTGGAGGATCTTTTTGTGTTTTCTTGTGCCAGTCGCTGGTGGACAGGGCCAGCCCTTTTTTGGTTTTTAGCACATCCGGCTGGGAAGCTTGGCTTGGCACTTTGGGAGAAATCAGGGGATGTGGAAGAAGACAGAAAATCATAGTTCACACGTATTAAAAAATGCCCACCTGCCATGTCCACCGGTCAAGCCCTGAATGTCACTTAAAGAGGAATCACTTGCTTCCCTCCCCTCAGAGTGGGACAGTTTCTGCCCGGGGAGGTGCAGAGGATGATGAGGGCATTCATATTGCTTATGGGCTGGATTAAAAAGGCATGTGGGTTGCAGCCTGCAGGAATCATATTTCTGGGGCCACTTTCTGGGAGAAAATTGTCCGCTGAATGATTTGTGGGACACGGTGGGGTGGCTGATCCTTCCCTGTTGGCTGGGAATTTCTTGGGACCTGCTTCTCCCTTAGCTGACCAGGCAGCAGATCATTTCTTCACTCACCTCCTGCTGCTTGGTGACCCCCTGGGTACCAGGAGGAGGTGGGGGGGTGAGGGTGACTGTAGTTGACAGGCAGCTGTAAGGTGGGCACGCTTTCCCCCTCCCCAGAGAGCACCTTGGTCCTTACCAACTTCTGAAGTTAGAGAGGTCAGATGTTGGCTTCTGTATTTTTTAGCTGTGTGACCTTGAGCAGGTGACTTAAGCTCTCTGATCCTCTGCTTCTCAATCCATAGAAAGAGGGAAATTATGGCACCTGCAGGACAGTTTTTGTGAGAATCAAAGGAGATAATTCATATGTAGTGATTTGCCATTTCTTCTATTATCTAGTGAGAGAGATCCATAAAGCTACCGTTTATTCACGCTTCCTGCGTGCCCACACCCTGTTAAAAGACTTAGCCATAGCATGAAGTGGACCTAGCAACCCTGCCAAGTGGGCGTGGCCCTTCTTGTCCCGGGTGAGCCAGCCCAGATGCCCAGCGGAAGCCACTGGGTTAAGGTCCCACGGCTGGCAGAGGGAAGATGGGGTTAGAACTCAGGACTGACTTCCTTCCTGAACGTGCTGGGAGAGGTCCAGAGCTCTTCCTGCGAGCAAAGAACTGCACGTGTGTCTTGGGAAGAGATCACCCAGCCAGGGGTCCTTCATGTCCCTCTGGGGTTCCGTCTTCCCATCCCTCCGGGGTTCCGTCTTCCCAGGCATGTTTGGACCTGGGGTGTAGATCATCTTGGTGTTTCCCTGGTGGTCAGACACTAAAGGATCTGCCTGCAATGCTGGAGACCTGGGTTTGATCCCTGGGTCGGGAAGATCCCCTGGAGACGGGAATGGCAACCCACTCCAGTATTCTTGCCTGGGGAATCCCATGGACAGAGGAGCCTGGTGGGCTACAGACACGACTCACCTAGACTGTGCTCCACCGCGGATCTGTGCCCCCTCCCGTCTCTCATGCTTTCCTCTGGGTCCAAAGGAACCATCAACTTCCCCCCTCCCAGCTCAGTGGCCTCTCAGCTCCTTCTTTCTCCCTTAGTGCATTAAGGACATTTTTTTTAAACCATGCTTTTCTTTTTAGGGGGTGGGAGGGGGAGCTTCCTGTGTGTTTCCAATCCCCCTTCCACTGTAGTCCCCTTCCCCTGTCAAGCCTCCTCCAGTCAGGCACAGAAATAGTCCCAGCTGTGAGACGAAGGCTCCAGAGTTTAAAATTGCAGCTCTGTACTATTTATACTCCAGCCGGAAAGAGGTTTTTTTGCACTGCCATTTATTTGGTTGTGGTAGTGACGCCCTAGGCTGCAGGCGCAGCTCCTGCACTGTATAAACATTTCTCTGGGGACAAGTGGGCGCTGAGGGCAGCCTTCAGGTGAGGGGGCAATGCCAGGCCTGCCCAGGAACGCCTGAGAACACCTCCCTGCAGCAGAACAGTTCGGCCTCATAAGCCAGAGAAAGTGCTTCATGTTCCAGCCGAACTTCCTTCCGAGATGCCTGGTTATTAGGGGGGAAAATGACAAAAGAGCAGGTATTTTATTCGTCATGAAAATAATACATGCTTGAGGGGGAAAAGGGTTCAAACTACTCCTTTACGCAAGTGATTAAAGCAGACTCTTCATGTTCTGTTTTGCTTGGCCCACGAAGCATTAAAATGGAAAAATAATTTTAAAAAAATATGTGCCACTATTTATCAAGGGATAAATTTATAAGGGATCAAACTTGCATCTTTGATGTCTCCTGCATTGGCTAACCCCCTAACTATTTGCAGTTTGGTACATGTCATTCAAGTGGCTCTAGTGGTAAAGAACCCGCCTGCAATGCAGGTGACATAATGAGACTCGGTTGGATCCCTGGGTCAGGAAGATCCCCTGGGTCAGGAAGATCCCCTGGAGAAGGAAATGGCAACCCACTCCAGTATTCTTGCCTGGAGTATCCCACGGACAGAGGAGCCTGGCGAGCTACAGTCCATGGGGTCGCAGAGAGTCAGACATGACTGAATTGACTTAGCATGCACATGTCACTCCAGTTGAAATGAGATGAGGTGAAATCCCACTGTTGAAACATGCACATTTCTCGGTATTCATACAAGGACAGTTTTATATTCTGCCTCTTGCAGTTCACTGCTTCTCTCCAGGGTGTTTCTCAGGAGGCATTTTTCGGTGTTGATAAGGGCAGGCTTTGAGGCTGGGGACTCAAACCTACCTGAGAATGTGGGCCCCGACCCTTGTTAGCTGTGTGACCTTGAGCAGGTTCCCTTACTTCTTGGAGCCTCAGTTGCCTTATCTGGACCACGGATGGTGATAAGGGGCACTTTGTTATCTCCAGTGAGTATTTATTTATCTCCTTTCTTTTGAGAACTGCATAGAGTGGATGGTCCACAGTGGCTTTAACCAGAGTGGTTAGACAGAGGAGTCCACAGGCATCAAGACTTGCCACTGGCACTTCCAGGTTTCAAATGAGGCTTGAGAGGTTTTGAAAAGGCAAAGTAGGTCTGGAGGGAACTGGGCAGATAATCCTAAGATTTAGTTTGCTTTAAAAAAAAAAAAAAAAAAGAAAATGAAGGGCGTTTGTCTCCCTGGAAACCACTTGCTAATCTCCAGGATATTGTCTCTTTTCAGGCGAAGGAGGTGGAGGAGACCATCGAGGGGTTGCTCCTCAGGCTGGAAGAGTTTTGCAGCCTGGCTGACATGGTGAGTGCCTGGCTGACATGGTGAGGGCCTGCCTGGGAGGCGTGGGTCGAGGCCCAGGCCAGGCTTCAGGGCCTTCCTGGGCCTCCCTGGGCCTCCCTGGGGAGCCATCTTGGTGGTGGCTTAGCGAGCAGGAGGCGTGGGCAGCGGCCGGCCTGGGGAAGCCACCCTCTCTCTCTCTCTCTCTCTCTCCCTCTCTCTCTCTCTCCACACAAGGCTCCCTGAGGCGGCCATCTTGTTAACGCCCTTCCCCCCCCAGACGCTTTCGCTCCATGGAGGAGGCGGGAGTAGGCCACCAGGTGGCGCTCTCGGCCCCGATGCGGGGCGCCGACCGGCGGGGATGCTGAGGCTATATTTAACTTTCCTCGCTCGGCGCCGTTCACCAGGCAAACGTGGAGACAGCCAGGAAATGGCTTAAGGCCTGGGAGGCCCAGGGGGAGCCTCCCGGCCGGGCCCTGGCCCTGGCGGGGTCGGGCATGGAGTGCCTTCCTGAACCCTTTGCTGGCTCCACTGTTGCCTCCTCCCCTGTTGTGTGGGGAGGGCTCCTCCTGGCTGGAGGGAAGATGGTGCCCTCGGCCAGGAAGACGAGGTCTCCAGGATTGCTGCCAGATAGATGTGGGGCCCTGAGGAGCACTGACAGAGTCTTCTGAAAGTTCCCAAGCTTATTAAAGGCACACCAGCAGCCAGGGTTCGTGGTTTCTGCCTGGAGGCCCAAAGGGTTGAGCTCCATGTTGGGAACAGGCCTGCCTCTCCCCGGAGCCCCGGAGCCCCGGCTGGGTGCGGCCGTGTGGAACGGCCCCAGGTGTCTGGAGATGCGGTGGTGAGAGCCCAGGGAGCCACGTGTGTTGAGCAACTACTCTGTGCCAGGCTCCGTCCGGAGCCTGCTTCCCGTGTCCTCCCGTCTCACCTCAGAGCAGCCCGCCATGATGGGTGCAGCTCTATCCCCGGACGTTCAGCGGGTATCTGAGTGCCTCGCTGCGCCAGCCCCTGGGGACACTGCAGTGAACCAGGCAACAGACGTTCCCACAAGGACCTGTGTGTGTTTTTCTCTGGAGAGCCGAGTTTTTAGTTCAGATGTGGGTCCAGGTGGGAACCAGGTAACGAGACTGACTTTGAACAGCGTGAATAGTCCTTTCTTCATCCGAACATTGTGCACCTTCTCCGACTGGTCCCTTGAAGAGCCTGAGAACGCCAAGAGAGACCAATCTGTCTCCCTTCCCCGCCCCCTGCCCCTCTGATCCCCTAGGTTACCGGGGAAACCCATATGTGCATCAGCGCTGGCCTGGAGGTGTGTACCAGGTGCAAAGTGGAGGCTTTGTGAAGGGAAAGAGCTTCTAGAAGGAACCACGCACATAATCCCAAGATTCGGTTTGCTTTAAAATATATATATATATATATATGAGGAGCAGAGGTGTTAAATTCTGCCTGGAAAATTGGGGAGGCTTTGCAGAACAGGTGGTGATTAATTTGGGGTTTGAAAGAGGAACGAGAAGAATTCAGTTGCTGGGAGTGGGGGGTGGGGGTGGCAGGCATCCAGGCAGAGGGACTGGTCTGTGGGGGCGGTGTGCTGGGCCCAGCGGGACTGATGTGGGCCCCCACAGCAAGGTTATTGTGAAGGTGGTAGGGACAGGCAATCCTGGGACATCTTTGATCTCAAATCCCAGCCCATCTTCCTCCTGTGATGAGAGACCCACTCTCCACCCTTTATGAGAGCTCTGGACGGAAGCCCGCTTGCATAGAAAGAAAGGGGTCCAGATAAGGCTAGTTTTACTAGCCTTAAAAACGTCAAGGCTTCCCAAAGCCTGCGTTTATCTTGCCAGGAGGCCCAAGGTTGCATGCAGCATGGAGAAGGTCCTTTCTGAACTCAAAGTCTAGAGATGCATTGATGCAAAGGTTTTAAATCCAGAGGTCACAGGATGACCTGTGGGCCCAATCCTGCCTGCAGACATGTTGGATGCTCCTGGGAAAAAAGAAAGGAGGGCTAAGCGGCTGACATTTATAGAATGTCATGCAAAAAAAAAAAATGTGGATTTCCGGCTTCTCTTGGAAAAGCAACGGCCTGTCTTGCACTCGCATCCCGCTACCCCTTGGGTGCTTTCTCTCACCTGGCCAGCATCAGCCGGAGCCCCCGTGGAGCGCACACATGCTCTACAGCTTGTCGCGTCCCCATGGGAGCCCCCCTGACTCCCCTGCCCCCCGCCAGCCTGGTTTAGCTTTTGTGGGAGCTAAAATTTCTCTGTACTTCGGGCCCTACTGAAAGCAGGCACATATCAAACAGAGCAAGAGAGTGCTTTAAGAAATGGAAAAGAGTGCACTTCTTTGAAAGTAAAGACTATTTCTGTGTGCTTATATGCAGATGAGCATGTCTATGTCATAATAGAATGCACCTAGTTTGATGCTTTTGTGACCCTTGGAGCTGTTTTTTATTTTGCAATCCCTACGATGAGGCTCTGTGCTGATGCCATTTAGATTATAGAAATCCTCTCAGTCCCACCAGCTGATGGTTAGCTTATCCGGTGTGTCTGTGCTGGGGTGTCGTGGACTCCACGGTACAGAGAGAGATCTGTCCAGCTAGTGGCCCTGGCTTGGGACCTCCTTTTTTCTTCTGATCCAAGCTAGAGACAAGTGGGGACCTGTGGGAGGCAGGTGTTGTCACAGCACTGAGCGCTGTCCTGTGCTTTGGCCTTTGAGAACACCAGTCAGGTTAGAGGTCCCAGAGAGGCTGGGCTCCCCGGTGCCAGTCCAGAGAGAAACACTTCATTTCTGATGAAGTCAGGCTACTGGAAATGAGAGTCCAGCTTCCAGTCTGTTGTATTAAGTCCTCTGCCAGCCTGTCCCAGATCACTCTTGAGGAAGCAGCGTTCACACTGTGTGCTCAGGACCTGTTCTGACCTTGGATATAATGCCCCTTGCCATCACCCCGAGCTCTGACACTTCCCACTCTGAGGCCATGGTCACGGTCACTCACCTTTCTGTGCCCTGATTTTCTCCTCTGTAAAATGGAGATGGTGGTTGGTTCCGAGTATCTATGGCAGCATCAAACTGCCCCAGAACTTCGTGATGTGAAACAACCATGAGTTTACCACTTGGGCCAAGACAGGGCACAGAGGGTACGGTTGGTCTGAGCCAAGTGGCACCTGCTGGGGTGAGGATGTCCAGGGCGGCTCCTTCGCTCACTTGTCTGGTGTCTCAGCTGGGGGGGGCTGGGTGGCCGGGGACTCGTTGGCCACATGGGCTTTCTCGTACCATGGCAGTCTGGCCTCCCAGAGCCAGCATTCCAACAAACACAACGTAGACGTCTCTGAAGCCTTGGGTATGGCAATTGACACAGTCACTTCTGTCGTATCTTATTAGTCAAAGGGGCCACATAGCCTACCCAGATCCAAAGGGAAAGGATATAGACCCCTCTTCTTCATGGAAGCAATGTGTGGCCATCTTTCATCCGCTGCACATGGCGCCCATCTCCAAAGAGGCATCGTGAGGAATAGACAAGGCAGGGGTGTGCCCTTTACATCCACTAGAATGACCAGAATGCAAGACAATAGCACATGTGGGTGAGGGTGTGGGGATGCTGAAACTCCCCTTCATTGGCTGGTGGGAATACGCAAAGGGACAGTCACATGGAACACAGAGCCGTTTCTTGTAAAGTCAGACATATACTTAGGCTGCATCCTGGCAGTTCTAATCCTAGATAATAACCCATGAAAAATGAAAACAAGAGTTCAGAGACTTGCTGATAAATGTACATGGCAGCTTTGTCTATCATCTCCAAACTGGAAGCAACCCTGGTATCTGTCAGCAGTTGTCATTTAGTCGTTCGAGTCCTTTTGTGACCCCATAGACTGTAGCTCATGGATACCCTGTCCGTGGAATTTTCCAGGCAAGAATACAGGAGCGGGTTGCTGTTTCCTGCTCCAGGGGATCTTCCTGACCCAGGGATGGAACCCACGTGTCTTGCATTGGCAGGCAGATTCTTTACCACTGAACCGCCAGGGAAGCCCCGGTCAGCAGTAGAAACCAGTAAATAGGGAATTCCCTGGTGGTCCAAAGGTTAGGACTCCGTGCTCTCACTGCCAAGGTCTCGGGTTTAATCTCTGGCTGGAGAACTAGGGTCCCACAAGCCTTGTGGCATCGCTGAAAAATAAAATAAAAAGAATCGAGTAAATAAGCTGTTGTTTATCCATGTGCTGGGATGCACAGCCACGGAAGAGAATGACCAGCCATATACAACAACACGGGCGATTCTCACAGACATGCTGTTGAGAGAAAGAAGCCGGACACAGGAGTACTTCCTGTGTGGAGCTCCGTAATCTGAAGTTTAAAAACAGGCAAAACCAGTCCCTGTGATGGAAGTCAGATAGAGCTTAGCTTTGGGTGGGCGGCCATGACTTCAAGGAGGCTGGAGGGAGTCTTATAAAGCAAGGGGTGTTCCATGCGTTGGTCTGGTTCCACAGATGTAAGCACATGTACCAGTTATCAAGCTGTTGGCTAAAGCCTGGGCTCTTTACTGTATATCATTTGCACTCAATTAGTAATAATTGCTTAGCACAGTGCCTACTATGTCTTAAGTGACCCGTGAATAGTAGCTACTGAGGTCAGCAGTGTCATCAGTTTCAAATCACCAGAGGGTCATGCCACCCATGAGTTTATCCACAGAAACTAGATTTGTGAGGCTGCTCAGCTCAGTGCCCTTGAGGGCTTGGGCAGCTTGTCTGGGCCCTCTGAAACCCCAGTGGCCTTGGACCCACCTTCTGGCAGGGAGCAGACTCTCTCCTGTCTCACGTAAGCGGAGAAAACTTCCTGTTGGCCTCAGCCCAGCAGTTGCATTTGGCATTGGGGTGTGTTCTTAGGTCAAGTGCATTTGGCTCTCCTTTCTGGGCCCTGCATTGTCCAGGACAGCCGCGTTTGCTCTGTGATAACCTCCTGCATCCACTGCCCAGACTTCTGGGCTCCGGAGACCAGCTCTGGGGAGTGGAGATGATAGGCTCCCAGGTCCATAATCCTGGCTGGAGGTTTGTCCCAGCAGAGGCTCGGAAAGCACTGATTCTTCCCTGCCATCTTTGTTTTTCTGAGCAGTAGGCACAAGCGTGAACTCACATGTCTGTGATGTGATGATGTGAAGTGGGTTGGATGTAAGAAAAGCAATGTCTTCCTTTCCTTACACTCCCCTAGAAGATGAAACAGTGTAGGGCGTGGCCATGGACGCTATTTGGGGAGACTTTAGGGAGCGGTGGAGGCTGTGGTTAACCCAAGGAGGCCATTGTCACCCGGCTCCAGCTGATTGTTGCCATGTGGAACCTGGGATCAGTGTGGCTGGGGCCTTCTGGCTTTTCACAAGAAGCTAGAAACCTGAGTTTCTGAGGGGAATGTCCTGAACTTTAGATCTTGGCACCTAGATTGGTTATACTTCTGGGGCTTTAAGCGTGACACAGGCCAGCTCTGCGTGGGCCTGCTGGGACACATCTGCAGACTTCTGGTATTAGCAGGTGGCCTCAGACCCAAAGAATCTACCTTCTCCCACTTTGCAGCTGTGTGACCTTGCCCAGATGATGTGGCTTTTCTCAGTTTCGTCACCTATGCAGTGAGGTTGAAGAGCGAACAGTTCCTGCTGTTCCTCATTCACGTGATGAATGCTCCTGGGTGTTGGTGTCCTGCCCTCCCTGGTTTTTGCTATTTGGTTCCCAGCTTACTGGGAGCCCAGGGGAAGGCTTGGGGTTGTTTCAGACGCCCTCCGTTTTCCCCTCAAGGACTTGCAGCCTGCCTTCCGGGCAGGAGTGGACAGCTGCCCTCACCCTCAGCCAATGGAGAGGCCTCTGCAGAGAGGGGCCTTCCTGCTCGGCCCACAGACCCTTGACCTTCCAGTTCCTGCAGATCCAGAGGAAGGTGGGGAGTGGTCCCTGAATCTCCTCTCTACCACATTCCCTTCACCCCATGGGTTGCTAGGTCCAGTCCCTGCTGATGCTCACGTGTTTCCCCTTTTTAGATATCAGCAGGAAAAAAAAGATCTGCCTTTGATCCCAGTGCTCCCGATTGACACGAGTTTCCTGTTCTTCATTGTATCTTAGCAATTTCTCCTGAGGTTAGCCTTGTTTGCTGACAAAAGTCCATCTAGTCAAAGCTATGGCTTTTCCAGTAGTCATGTATGGATGTGAGAGTTGGACTGTGAAGAAAGCTGAGTGCTGAAGAATTGATTCTTTTGAACTGTGGTGTTGGAGAAGACTCTTGAGAGCCCCTTGGACTGCAAGGAGATCCAACCAGTCCATCCTAAAGGAAATCAGTCCTGAATATTCATTGGAAGGACTGATGCTGAGCTGAAGGTCCAATACTTTGGCCACCTGATGCAAAGAGCCAACTCATTGGAAAAGACTCTGATGCTGGGAAAGCTTGAGGGCAGGAGAAGGGGATGACAGAGGATGAGATGGTTGGATGGCATCACCGACTCAGTGGACATGAGTTTGAGTAAGCTCCAGGAGTTGGTGATGGACAGGGAAGCCTGACGTGCTGCAGTCCATGGAGTTGCAAAGAGTCGGACACGACTGAGCGACTGAACTGAACTGAACTAGCCTTGTTGAGGGATAGGTCTCTCTCTAGACATTCAGCCTGGGGGAACAAGGGAGGATATTGAGCACTTTGCCCTATTCCAGCTGACAAATGCAGGTGCCTGTGGGAGCTCCAGCATAGGCTTGGAGCTTGGCTGAAAACAGGTTGCCAGCTGACCCCACACAAGCTAGACCAGACTTGGAAGAGCCTGGGAATCTGCATTAGGCTTCCTCCAGGGGATCTGGATGCTCCTTAGCACCTGAAAGTCATATGTATACTGCCTGTCTGCATGATGAAGATGTGATAACATGGAAATTGTATCTCTCTCTCTCTCTCTCTAACACACACACACACACACACTCTTAAGGATTAGACTTGTCTTCTTGGCTGTGAATGAAAATGGAGGCTTAAGTGTCCAATCTCAGTGATCTAGAGGAAGATACAACTTCCCAAACTTCACAGTCATTTTCGGGGTCCTTCCAAGCAGAAGAAACTTAAGTGAGATGCATGATGTGCAGGAAATACTTAACACAGTGGCTACATATAGGAAGCACCGTGAGAGTGAGATTTGTGGTTATCATTATTAGTGTTGATGATTATTATTAACTCTTCTCATGAGGGCTTCCCCAGCGGCTCAGACGGTAAAGAATCTGCCTGTAATGCAGGAGGCCTGAGTTTGATCCCTGGATCAGGAAGATTCCCCGGAAAGGGAATGGCAACCCACTCCAGTATTAGTTTCAGTGGAACAAAAACTCGACTTTGCTCAATTTAGGGGAATGATTTTGATTCTTTCCATTTGGTCCAGTTCAGTGGTTAATAAAGATACTTAGTTTGAAGCTGGTGCTGTTTTAGATGTTTGCAGGGGACAATTAACTCTCTTCTCCAGGGGATCTTCCCAACCCAGGGCTCGAACCTGAGTCTCCTGCATTGCAGGCAGACTCTTTACCATCTGAGCCACCAGGGGAGCCCAGTTAATTTGTAGCTCAGTAAATCACACCTGGCTGGGTCTGGGTCCCCAGGGGCAGTGACATCGGTCCCCACCCGCGACTCTGGGTCATTCCTGGGCCTGTCCCTGGGCAGGGTGACACTTGGTGTCTCGGCCACTGGCGAGGTCTCTGCAGAGCCTGGCCACCCCCAGAGCAGGCGGAAGCAGGGGCCGGAGCAGAGGGGCTCACGAGCTGTCCTGTTCCCTGCAGATCAGGAGCGACACCTCACAGATCCTGGAAGAAAACATCCCCCTCCTTAAGGCCAAGGTGGTGGAAATGCGTGGCATCTATGCCAAAGTGGACCAGCTGGAGGTGAGTCCCGGGTAATTAACTTTGTGAGCGTGTGGACTTGTTCTGACTCTTCTGTCCTCTCTCCCAAGACACTGATCTGGCATTGATAGTGTTAGGCCTTAGACCCAGTGGAGGGGGTGGGTGGCCAAAAGAGGCCTACATGGTATTTTAAAAATATAACAAATATGAATTTATATAAAGAATCTCATTTTAAAGTTGGGGTACTTTCTATAAAAACCTGAATTTCAAGCTGCTTTTTGTCATTTATTTATTTTTGGCCATGCCACATAGCTTGCGAGAGCTTAGTTCCCCGACCAGGGATTGAACCTGAGCCACGGTTGTGCAAGTGCGGAATCCTATCCACTGGACTGCAAGAGACATCCCTAAGTGGCTTTTGGAAATTTAGCATTTCTCAGAACTCTGGGCCCATATTTCTTTAAATAGTTTGATCTGTTTACTTTTTAAGGTGCAAATACGTAAAGTGTACATATCATAAGTGTACAATTCAGTGAATTTTAACATGTATCAACCCACTTGAGGGCTTCCCCAGGGGCTCAGCAGTAAAGAATCTGCCTGCAATGCAAGAGTCACAGGAGACGAAGGTTCGATCCCTGGGTTGTGAAGATCCCCTGGCAGAGGGCATGGCAACCCACTCCAGTATTCTTGCCTGGAGAATCCTATGGACAGAGGAGCCTGGCGGGCTACAGTCCATGGGGTTGCAAAGAGTCAGACACGCCTGAGTGCACACACGCGTGAACGCCGCGTGAAGATGGCCCAGGTTGAGAAACTGAGCCTTCCCACCCCTGGGGCTGTTTCCTGGGAGAACTGGCGCAGCTGCCGCTCAGACAGGGCGCGGGCTTTGTTTCTCCGCAGTCCCCACCCCACCCTGTTGCCTCCTGCTGACTTAGTTCACCGGCCTTTTGTCTGTGTGGGCTCCGGGCCGAGGTGCAGGGTATCTCATTTGCTCCTGGCTGCACTGCGAGTCCGCACCCTCCCCTTCCCGACTCCCGGACGAGGAGCACGAGTTCCTCGAGGTCAGCCCCTTCCCAGGGATCACACAGCTGATTCCATGAAGCGGGGGCTTCAGTTCACATCCACGAGAGCCCAGGCTTTTCCTCAAACTGGGGCCCTTGGGCGGGCTCCTGGCTCCTTGCACAGTGAAGACCGGGAGGCTGGAAGAGCCTTCAGCGTAGCAGAGGTGGCCTGGACTGGACGTGAGCGCCCCTAGTCTGCCCAGGAAGGGAGCCAGCGGTGGACCCTGGAGTTCGCAGAGAATTAACATTCTTGTCAGCAGAGGAGGCAGGAATATAATTAAAACTTTGCCCTTGGAATAGCTGATTCATTTGAATTTTATTCCACACGTTTGAAGGAAGACAGAAAAATGCAAAGATGTGCAGCCCTGCTTCTTACCTCGCTTGGGCCGCCCCACCACTCAAGCTGCATTTTTTCCTTGGTACTCAGTTTCCTAACGCTTATTGAGGGCCTATTTGATGCCGCTGTGGGCCCTCACAGCGAGAAGGATGGAGTTCAAGGCTGTGGCTCCCTCCAGGAGAAACAGCAACCGAGTGTAACCATTGTGTTTCCCGGGGCTCCTGTGACAAGTTATCACAAACGGAGTGGCTTAAAACAGCATGAACTAAGCATCTTACGGCTCCAGAGGTCAGCAGTCTGAACTAGGGCAGCAGGAGTCAGCAGGGCCAGCTCCCTCTGGGGGAGAATTCCCGTCCTGGCCTTTGCCAGCTTGCATCTCCCAGCTGGTGACACCTTCCTCCCATCTTCAGAGCCACAGTGCAGCATCTTCCAGGCTCTGTCCTCCCCCAAGTCTCCTGCTTCTGTCTTATAAGGACCCCCGTGATTACCAGGACAGTCTCCCCAGCTCAGCATCTTTTTCACACCTGCTGAGTCCCTTTGGCCATGGAAGGTGATATGTTCACAGGCCCTGGGAGTGAGGCTGGGGACCTTTGGGTGGGGTCATTACTCTGCTGCCCACATTCACCAAGGGTGACTTCAGAGGCGTGTGCTCTGGAAGGCAGTAAGGAATTGGCAGTGGATGCTACAGGCCCTGGAGCGTGAGTGGAAGGAGCTGTGTTGGGTGGGAGGGGCAGGTGGGCGGCACAGCCAGGGTAGACGCTCAGTGGTGGGAGGCTCCGGGCTCTGGGCAGCAAGGAGATAATGGACCAGAAGGATCTGGGATGGCCAGGTCACAGGGGCGAGGGGCGTGATGACCAGAGCGGGGCTGGAGATGCCAGCAGGGTCCAGGACTGTCCTGGGCAGCCAGGGATGAGAAGGCCAGCCCCAAGCCACTCCTCCTTGTCCTTCGGGAACAGTTGGAGCTGAGACGCACCCTCCCCTCCCATGAGGTGTGAATCTTCAGGCCGCCGCAGTCACCACTCTGACCTAGAGTCTGCTACCATCGAGACCCAGTAGCATTTGCCTCCTGTCAGCCCCCTGGGCTGCTGTTTTCTGTAGAGCAGAGAGAGATTTCTCTGCAGCTGGGCCCTAGTTAAAAAGAAGAAAAACTGCGTTGGTCCAAGAGGGTCATGGATGTCAAGGCAAATGGGCGACTCCGTATTTCCTGCTGAGCTACCTGCGACATAAGATGTAGGACCTGATCAGAACCCAGTGTTGTCCTGAGGCAGATGGACTCCTCAGATCTGCCCCTTGGAGACTGTTTTTTGTTTGGGGTTGTTTTGTTTTTATTTTTTTGACTGCACCATGCGGAATCTTAGTGGCCTGGCGAGGGATCAGAGCTGTGCCATTGGAGCACAGTCTTACCCACTGGGCAACCAGTGACATCCTGGATCTGTGCCATGGGCCGCTCACTCCCCTCTCGCGGTCAGCTTCCTTCTCTAGGTGGGGTGTGTCGTCGTGAGGGTGTGAGGCCGGCCCCTGGCATCCTGCAGGTGCTGGGGAGGACAGGCTGTCACTGCAGGGGTGCCCACAGGCCGAGAGCCGGGATCCAGCGCCTGCTCATCACTCTGCCCAGCCCACTGGAGGCTCCGGGGAGCCCAGGAGCACTCTGCTCCCATATCACTGTGACCCGCTGGGGGCCAGGAGGCTTGAGAACCGTGGGGGTGACCTCTCAGGCCAGAAAAAACTAAGTTACTGAGCAAGTGCTGTGAGCCAGGGCCTCTAAGTGCTTTAGATGAAAGAACTTGCTTACCCCTCACAGCAGAGAAGGTCCTGGTATTGGTCCTGTTTTATAGAGCGGTGAGGCACACAGAGGTGAAGGGATGAGCCCAGGGTCACACAGCCAGGGAGTGGTGGAGCTGGGATTACAGAAGTCCGTGCTCCTGACCCCTCCTCAGTGCTGGGTGCTGGCACCGTCTGGACCCGGGCCTGCCCTGAATCCGGGGGCCTTTGTCACAAGGATGCAGGCGCATCAGAACTCACACCTGTATTTTAAGACCACATCTCACCCCTCCCCTCCTCCTTCCCTTCCTTCCTTCCTTCCCTAGCTTCTCATAATAAAAGTGGTTCATCTTCACCATAGAGACAATTATGTGGAAGTCACCTCTGCTCCCAAGGGCGGTCACAGTCCCCAGCTGCCCCCGTCTGTGCCCTCTCCTCCCCTCTCCACGTGGATGCCCGTCGGGGTTGTCCCGCTGCCCCCGTCAGCTTTCCTGGCCAGGTTTGGCCTCTCCCTGGCCGCGGCCTGGCCGGCCTGCCCTCCCTGGCAGGCGTTTTGGAGGCGGATCAGACCTCGTGAGCGCACATTCCTCCGTGTCCCTCACACTCCCCACCACAGCGGCATTAACGCAGGGAGCGTAAAATTGGAACCGGCTGCAGGGAGGGCCTGCAGGGCTTCCCTCTGTGCTTTATAGCCAGATGCGCCAGCCGGTGAGGCCAGGGGAAGCGGCCCAGCCTGGGGCCCCTCGTGTCCCCCTCCACCCAGCACACACACACAGAGACACACACACACACACACTTGATGTGCCTTATTCAGAGCCTTTCAGCTCTGCCCTCGCCAGAACCATAGGGCAGCAGCCGCACAACAGTGCTGCCATCCTGGGTTCATCCAATGTTTTTTTGCTGAGGATGTGGTCATTCATTTATTCACTGACTCTTGCATGTATGCCTTCATTCCTGGGTGTGCTGCCATCCTGGGTTCATCCAATGTTTTTTTGCTGAGGATGTGGTCATTCATTTATTCACTGACTCTTGCATGTATGCCTTCATTCCTGGGTGTGCATTCATGCATAGATGCATTCATATGTGCATGCATTATTCATGTGTGTGTGCCTTCATTCACGTGTGCATTCATGTATATATACATTCATGCATGTATGCATTCGTTCATGTGTGCATGCATTATTCATGTGTGTGTGCCTTCATTCACGTGTGCATTCATGTATATATACATTCATGCATGTGTGCATTCGTTCATGTGTGCATGCATTATTCACATGTGTGCGCCTTCATTCACGTGTGCATTCATATATATGTACATTCATGCGTGTGTGCATTCGTTCATGTGTGCATGCATTATTCATGTGTGCATGCCTGCATCCACGTGTGCACGCCTTCATGCACACACGTGTTCTCCTGTGCGCACTCATCCTCTCACGCGTGCATGCATTCCTGCCTCCGCCATCCGGCTGAGCAGGCCCTGGTTGCGGCCTTGTGAACAGCACTGACTCAGTACCTGCTCTTCCAGAACTCACATTCTGGAAGGAGATGGACCCTGAACCGGCAGACAGGAAGTTAAGAGGGCGAGGGGAGCTAAGAAGACGGGGCCTGGGCAGCTCTGCGGTGGGGCCATGTTAGCCTAGGCGGTCGGGGAAGGCCCCTCTGTGGAGGGCCAGCAGACTCAGGGCCTGGGAGAAAAGCAGGGTTCACCCATGGAGAAGAGAGGTGCCCGGGCAGAGAGAGAGCTGCTGCTAAGGCCCCAAGGAGGGTGAGGCTGGGGTTTTCGAGGAACCAGAGGGAGGCCTGGGTGGGACACAGGGAGGGGGCAGAGCGGGTGCTGGGCCTTGCTGGGTGGGCGGGCCTGGGGCCTTCCATCTGCGGAAGTGGGGCTCCCCTGTGGGGCCTGGCGCTGAGAGGGTCTCCAGCCTCTTCCTGATGCAGGAAAACCTGCATTTTCCTTTGGGAAAGGAGAGGCCCACAGAGGGGAGGCTTGTCTGAGATGGACCTGGAGTCGCCACCTCTGGCGGCCTTCCCGGGTGTACGAGCAGTGCGCACACATGTGACACATGCTAACACATGCGCATGTACACACAACACACACATGCACACAAACCCAGGTACAGATGCCGACGCACGTGCACCCAGCACACAGACACAGCAGAAGTCGCACACAAGTGGGCCTGCACAGCCTTTTTTTAAACGTTCCGGATTTATTGCTAACATTGTTAAAAACTAGACATTTTTCATGAAATCTGAATGTCCTGTTGTTTTTTTAAATGATGTTATCTGGCATTAATTGAGCTCTTAATATGCCCTGGGCACTAAACTGCTGAGCAGGGTTGATATCGTTATGATTCCTGCTTCACAGATAGTAAAATTGGGGGGTAATAGAAATGAGGTAACCTGGCAAAAGGCATATGACCAGTGAGTGGTAGACCCCTGGGTTCTAATCCAGTGGGTCTGACCCCAGCCTTCTCTTTTCCCTTCTCAATACTGGAGGTTTTGCAGTAGAGCCCCAAGCCGAGTGACCCCCCCCCCCCCCCGGGGCCAGGGACCTGGTATTCCAGCTCACCCAGCCTGTTCTCAGTCTGTTTCACTCGCTTGTCACCTGCCTGCCCCTTGGTGGTTTCTGAGTGTTAGACTCCCCAATACCCATCAAATATTAAACCGAGCAATTTCGGGGAATTCCCTGATGGCCCAGGGGTTAGGACTCCACGCTTCCACTGCTGGGGGCACAGGTTTGATTTCTGGTCGGGGGACCAAGAGCCTGCAAGTTGCGCGGCATGACCAAAAAGACAGAGCGATTTCTAAAAACTTCAGTTTTCATAAAGAAGGTCGTGCAGCCTGAGTACCCTCTCTGCTGCTGCCTAGCTGTGTGACTTTGGGCAGGTGGTCCGACCTCTCTGACCGTTGGTTTCTCCCCTCTGTAAAATAGTCTAAACAGAGGGTCACTAGAGGGAGAAGGAGAAAGGATACGAGTGGAGGCTCGGCAGGCCGGGGCCCCAAGAGGAGGCACCACTGTTACCGTCAGGGTTTCTGAAGGTGCTCCCAGCAAGGCACCAGCGAGCCTGAGGTCTCCCAGAGCCTGGCGCCGGTGGGGCAGGCGAGAGGGAGGCTGGAAGCAGTGGCTGCTGGCGGCCGAGGGAGGCAGCCGTGGCATCTCGTCTCTCCGCTCCCCCGACAGGCCTTTGTCAAGATGGTCAGACGGCACGTCTCCTTCCTGGAGGCCCACGTGCTCCAGGCAGAGCGGGACCACGGGGCCCTCTCGCAGACCCTGCGGAAGTGGCTGGGCTCCTCGGGGCTCCCCGCACTCGGGAACGTGAGTATCCCCACCTCCCCGCCCCCTCCCAGACCCCGGAGCCGGGAGAGGGGCACCGGAAACGGGAGTTCAAAGGGCACGGCTGGCTTCTGCAGACAGGAAGCGGCGTCTGGCTGGCTGGTGGGGGGCTGGCGGGGGGCTGGCCGGGCGGCTGGGGCGTCGCAGACTCTCTTGGGTGCCCCCGTGTGCCCTGAGCGGTGGTGCCGTGGCTGCCGGCCCCTCATCCACAGTTTAGTAAATGCCTGCTGTTTGCCTAGCACGGGTCTGTCTGGAGTTCGCGCGCTGGTTAGAGACAGCTCCTGTCCCTTCCTTCCGCATCTGAGGCTCAGGGCCATTTCCAAAACTCAGGTGGGGTTCCCCGTCCCAGGGCACGAGTCAGCCTCCAGCTGACCAGAAGGTCGGGGCACAGTGGGAGGGGCAGCGAGCCCACAGCTGGCCAGGGCCTCTCCCTCCCACACTGCTACTTCCTTGGAATCTTCCCTATGCAAAAGGAAGGGTCCTTGTGCCCCTTATACTGGTCGAAAAACTGCTATGTGCTGATTACCTGCTTGCCTGCAGGTGAGGGACTGCCCCAAAGCCAGTAGCAGCTGGATCGTGGCATCAGAGTTCATGGTCTCAGAATTCTTACTGATCCTTTAGAGCCCAAGTTAATGTCACCTCCTCTGAGAAGCCCTCTGGGACTGCGCTCTCTTTAGACAAATGCGTTCTCTTGTGCCTTTCAGTGACAGTGAAGTCAGGAGCGGCCTGCTTGGTCCTCCTCTCCCTCAAGTTATGGTGACTATTGCAGGGTGACCAGGAGCCCCCCAGTCACACGGTGCTCTGCCCACCGATGGCTCAGAAGCACCACCGAGGAGGGAGGACAGAGGTCCTGGCTGCCTGCTGTCTGCGGCAGGTAACCTCACAGTCAGGCCTGCCAGGCCCTTGGTCTCCGCACCTTGCAGTCTTTTTCTGTAACCCGCACGGCTGTCCCTTTGTAGTTGGCACCAGTGCCTTCCTTTCGTGGCAAGGCTTGGAGGGGAGAGTCAGGCATCAGTGCTGGGGTTGGAACTCAGGCCCGCAGGGCTGTGGAATGGGGTCCCCCGCCCACTCCTGCTGCGGGATCCCATCAGGGTGCGGCCGGGCACGCTGGGACCTGCACCCTCTCATCTCTCCCAGACTCGGGGCCCCCAGCCCTCCCTGTGGTGACTTGTTCCAGGAAGCGCGTCCCAGCCAGGGCTGGTGAGCCATTCAGCAACCCCGGCGTGTTGGCCTTGGCCCTGGGAGGGCTTTGTGTGGTCCAGGGGATGCAGGCGAGTGTGCGCACACGCGCGTGCAAACCTGAGGGTTTCCAGGGCTGCACGTGCACCCGGGCTGCCAGCTGCGGGGGCTCTTCTAGACAAGAGTCGTCACAGCTCGCCCTGGGGCCCAGACCCGCTGGCATCTCGCAGCCCATCCAGTGAGGGAGGGCTAGTCATCAGACGAGGAAACTGAGGCACCGAAGGGTCAAACCACTTGCCCGCCCGAACGTGGTGGAGCTGCGATTTGAACCTGCGGAACCTGCGCTCTGCAGTGCCTGGTCCTGCTGGGTCTTTCGGGGCCTGGTTCCAACCGCTGCAGCTGCAGTCTGGGCTGGGGTCCTTGAAGAGCCCCCACGTGGGTCCCCGTTTCTTCTGTCTGGAAGAACCCACCCAGCCAGGGTTCCACGCTGTGTCCAGTCAGTTCCCCTCCATCCCTGCCGAGGTGGACACCTCACTGACCACTGCCCTCACCCTCGAAGGCCACATGGGCCCAGATTCTGCCTTCCTGCCGCCACTCACCCTCCTTGACCCATGCAGTGAGGGGCTGGTGCAGGGCAGGGGCTCTTGACTGAGAGTCCTGCCCCCACTCCTTTGGAAGCCCACCCCCTTAAAGGAAACGGGCGGCTCATCGCTGCCCTCAGGCCCTCCTGGAGTTAGGGGGCATCAGCGAGGGGCCTCCCTCCGGGGCCCCAGGCAGGAGGCCCTCCGCCCTTCTCCCCTGGAGCTGGGCAAGGGCCTTTTGGGGGGGGGGTTTGCCCCCCTCCCTGCTCAGCCATCTGTTGGAGCAGGAGATCCTGGGGAGGGCAAGGGGTGGGGAGAGGCTGGGTCTGTGGTTCTGTTAACTCTGCCAGCGCCACCTGCCCTCCTGGCCTCCTTTCTCCGTCTTTTCTCTCCCTCACTCTGCAGCTAAAGTGGGGAGGCCAGGGAGGGCGCAAGGCACCGGGCCAGGGTCTCCCAACACAGCAGTGATGGGGCCAGAAAGCCCCCCTGCCCCCACTGCCCCTCTGTCCATGTGACTTGCTGCTGGCCGAGGCAGGGGCCAGCCCGGGGATGCCAGCTGAGTGTCCCTCCTTGCCACGTGCTCCCCCCAAAGGCTGGGCCTTTGGCCTCTGACTTGAACTGTCGGAGACGTGCGTGGTCAGTGCCCAGACTGGGGTGAGGCTGGCCTGGCACCCTGGGCCCTCTGTGCCCAGACATAAGAATGTACACACTTCCAGGCTTCAGTTTTCATGCTAACGCACATATGGATATTTTCATGGTGCAAAGGTTCGTGTTTCCATGCTGTGTGGCATGAAAGTTTCCTGTTATGCTTTTATGTTGATTCTTACAGTGCTGCAAACCTGTAATTCAGAATCGCACCTCTCTTTGGCTATGACATTTTTTAGCTGTGTGACCATGAGTCAGTCTGTTAGCCTCTGCAGACCTCAGATAGCTTACCTGTTGGTTACCATGGGCTTGATCATGAAACAGTCTGCCTGCTAGAGAACTGGTTTCGATTTGATGTGCAATGAAGAGGGCCTCCTCCACTAAAGCCGTGGGAAGAAAAAGAAGAAAGAGAGTCCAGCACTCTCAGACGGAGGGTTCCGAGCACCGGTGGGTCTGCCGTCAGCTGTGCCTTTAAATAATGGTTCAGGACAGACTGCCTGAGCCCTTCGTGGCGGTGGTGACAGAGAGCAAGCCGGGCAGTGCCAGCTGCTGTTCTCAGCCCCAAACCCCACAGGGGAGGCGCTATTTTTAATCCCGGCCAGGGAACTGAGGCACAGAGAGGGGTCACTTAGCCAGGGCCACACAGCTGAGCACCAGGATAGGAGTCTGCATCCTTAGCTCTGTCCTTCATTATCTTGGGAGAGAGCCATGACCTCTTACTTCAGGAAGCACATGTCCAGTAGGAGAATAGAGGCAGTGACCAAATCTCAGAAAATTCAGTAGCTGGACATTTCTAAAGAGGGCCTGGCTTGCTCTGAGGGATGACCTCTAAGGAAGGGCCACGTAAGCTGAGACCCGGACGGTGAGTGAGAGCAGGCTGAAGTCAAAAGCAGGGATGTTCCCAGCAGTGGGGGTGGCGGGCCTGGAGGCTCTGGGGTGGGACGAGCTTGGGTCCTGAGGAACTGCAGTGAGTCCCATGTGGGGAGCCGGGGAGGGTGTAGGAGACGAGGTGGGGGCAGCCTGGACAAAAGCAGTGGTCTCGGGCCACACCGGGGGCCCGAGCACTAGTCCAAGGGCGGCAGGGAGCCTTGGGAGGGCTCATATCCAGGGAGTGACTTGGTAGATGTGCTCTGCTTTAGGGAGTTTCCAGGGCTCATTCTCTACCCTGAGCTCAGACTGGCATTTGGGGTCAGCGCTGTCTTGTTTAGACTTGACCACGGGAGCCGAGCCGGGCACAGGCATGCCCTCCAAGCTTCAGAGTTCAGCTGTTAGGGCTGCGTTTCCTTGGCCTGGAAACCCCACATGCTGTGCCTGGAGCTCCCTGAGACCCTTGCCTTGCTGGGCCTCGGGGCCTTTGTCTGATTGGGAGAGAAAACGGGGGCTCTCGGGGGGCACCCTGGTCTCCCGGCGTGTGTCTGGTCCCAGAGACCCTGCCTGAGGAGGCAGCCCCCCTGCCCGCTCACACAGGTCCCCTCACATCTGGAGATCATTTCAGGCACATGTGGGAGTGAAAGTGAGAGGGGGCTGGAGGCGTGTGGTCTTGGAGGGGGGTGGAGAGCACGCCAGGGGTCGCCGTGCCCCCCAGGGGCCAGGTCCCGGTGATGGCCGAGTGCCCACCATGGTGTCCTGACCACGCCAGGCCCTCTGCTCGGCGCCTGCACCAGAGGCTCAGAACAGCCTCGCTCATTTGTTGTCAGCCACTGTTTGTTTTCCGCCAAACCAAAACATCTTGTTCACGAGGTGTCATTTTGATTAATTTCCCGATGGATAACAGTATACTATTTTCCAAGGAAGGCTGTCTGGCTAAGCCCAAAACCACTTGGGGCCAGGTCCTGACACTGCGCAGAGCAGGCTGCCGGGGTGGGCTGTGGCCTGGGCTCGACTTGGGGCTGCCCGACTCACCTGTTCGCCCCGCACCTGCCCACGGGGCGATCTGGTAACAAAAATGGGTGTGTTCCGCCAGGTGTGATACAGCAGGGAGTGGTGCGGACTGCGGCGAATTGCAGAGCCCGTGCCTTAATGATAGAGGTAGCGAATTTCAGAAGCAGCCTTTGCAGAAACGGGATCAAGGAGGGCCAGATTTTCCTATTTGGGGGAGCACGCTGGGCATGTGGAGTTTTATATGAATTTTCTATTGTCTAAAAGTCAGCAACTAATTTTTCTCACTGTTAAACATTTGAGGGGGGAAAAATGTGTTGTGCCGTGGGTCACACCCAGCACACTCCCCAGCTCTGGATTTGGGGCTGATGGCCGGTATCCCAGAGCCAACCCCCCTCTCCCCAGAGGCATTTGGGACCAGGGAGGAGGGGACAGCCCGTGGCATCTTCCTCCACTCTGCGCCAGCCCCAGCAGGGGCCTTCAGCTCTCTGCAGCAGCGTGATGAGTGACCAGCAGTTTTGTTGGGCGTCTATTCCGGTTCCGACTGTGGTTGTATTGAGTACTTGCGGGCTTCCCTGGTGGCTCAGGTGGTAAAGAATCCGCCTGCAGTGTGGGAGACCTGGGTTGGATCCCTGGGTTTGGGAAGATCCCTTGGAGCAGGCCGTGGCACCCCACTCCAGTATTCTCACCTGGAGAACC